TTTAGCAGGTCAGCTGTGGAATAAAAAGAGCTGCTAAAAGTATAAACAACTGTGTTAAATCATTTTCATTTATTCAGAAGACACAGCGCTGCGCACCATGCCACCATGTATTTTGTTCGTATCTGAAAAAAATCTTAGAATACGAAAACATTGGTGAATGCCACAAATTCTCCTAAATCACTCGTACGCACAACTTAAGGACAAATCTGTGCGTACGAACGGTTCTTGCATGAGGCCCATTCTTATGAGAAATTCCTGCTGAAATCAAGATGACTGAAACATGGAGGGAAATCCAAAGCACAGCAGACCAAACAACTGCCATGTTGGTCAGTGTACAGTCAGGAAACTAAAAAGAAAAAGAAAAACAAAACACACTAGTTTTTTTTGTTTACTGGACCAAAATTTAAATTCACATACAGTATCTAATTTTCAATTTTATGCACTAAAAAAAAGATAAGCATTCACTTTGATTTACTGAATTTGATTTTTTTGAAACAGGTGATCTGACCTATAAGTTTTCTCTGCCCTGTATACACTATTTAGGTTCAACAACGTTATATGTCCAAAGAAGGTCAACAGAACCAGGTTATTCCATCAATAATTTCTTTTACTTCCCTGATGGCATGGGCCCAAGATGGCAATGCCACAATTGATTCATCAGACTCAAATAGTAAGAGACTGGTTCAGGGAGCATGAGACATCATTTTCACACATGGACTGACCACCAAAGAGTTCAGACCTGAACCCCATTGAGAATCTTTGTGCTGGAAAAGACTTAGCTCTGTGGTTCAAGTCTGCTGTTGTCAACAAGCTACTCTGATACCAATCAGTTCAATCTTGATCAGAACTTCAGTTTTAAACTTGATTTGATGAAGACATCTTTGGTCGTAGATGCGCACGTACAAGAGTTTTATTAAAGTTCGTGAATTCATAAGGTATTTTGCTAACAGACAGACAAACTCACACAGACGTACCTGTAGGCAAAACATGATGACAAAGTAAGTAAAGTACTGCAAAGTAACTATGCATGGGATTATGTACAGGAAATTAACAAAATTGGCAACTGCTCAGTTGTTTATTTCACACTTTGCTCCCCGTCTTTGGAGGAAGCTTTATATTTATCGACGAATGGCATCCATGAATGAGAGTATTAGGTGAAAGTTCAAGCATTCACTACAAATTATTAGAAATGATCATTTGCACACTGCAAAAAATATCCACCTAACCAAGTTTTAAAATCTTATATCCAGCCATGAAGGCTTTTTGATCTTGTTTTGAGACTGATTTACTAAACAAGAACTGATTGTGTAAGAATAATAATCTTGTTTTCAGAATGTGTCAGATTATTTGTCTTGTTAGCCTGAAAATTTGACTCAAGTCAAAAATTTCTGCCAATGGAGTAAGAAAATTTTACTTGGTAAGATTCTTGAAATATTTGATTCGACTCTATTTTTTTCATATTTCAAGAATCTTACCAAGTAAAAATTTCTTACTCCATTGGCAGAAATTTTTAACTTAATTTGAGTCAAATTTTTTTTAGGCTAACAAGACAAATAATCTGACACATTCTGAAAACAAGATTATTATTCTTACACAATCAGTTCTTGTTTAGTAAATCAGTCTCAAAACAAGATCAAAAAGACTTTTTGGCTGGATATAAGATTTTAAAACTTGGTAAGATGGACAGTTTTTGCAGTGCAGAAACTCTCATCACTGCATTAATATACATTGCTACAGCTGGCTCAAAGGCCAAAACACTACAGACCTACTTTTAGGTCTATAATCTTCTTGTTCACAGTAAACAAGGAAATATATAGGGAATATATCACATGAAGACTATATTCACCAGCACACGAGACATGATTGAGAAGATGCATCCAGAGAAAACCCAAGGGCCTGCACAAGGAAGACTCTAAATGGCCTTTTTGCTGTGAGGTGACAGAGCTACACACCACATCAGTGTGTAGGCAGATAAAAAAATGTGAGTAAAAATAAAAACATCCAGGATAGCTGTGCTGGAGTCAGTAGGTGAGAAATTTGGCCTGCTTGTGTTATCATTTGGGATCCAACTTTCGTCTACGGACCATATTTGAGATTTCGCCAGTGAGTGAACGTGCTGAGCAGTGAACAAAGCTCTGAGTGGGAGCATGCTGGTTTTGTGCCAACACATCAAAACACACCATGTTGTATTGTCATGGAAACCAAGCAGAGCATGACTAAGTCAAGTTCACGAAAAGTCAAAGGGTGTATGATAAATGCTGCTACAGATTTGAGCTGTTTCTGTGTGGCACGCATGGATAAATGTGTGCTATTTTGTTTGCACTTTGGGCCACGCGACTAGATAAAGAAGCAACCCATGTGACTTAATGAACCACAGCAATTAAAAGTTACCAAACTTTACTTGTACTTGATGTGGTAGATACAATACATGCATTTCTTTTCTGCAAGCAAGCTTGTTTAAAAGAATCATAAAATGCACCTCATACTTGCAATGCAATGATAAAGTCATGCAAAAATAAAACAAAAACACAGCATTATCCAGAGAACATACCGTATAACCTAAACTACTTTTGTACTAAAACAAATATTTAAGATCTTATGAAGGGGATTATAGACAGTGATGTCTTACCTGTTGTAGAAAGATCTCTGGAGGACCTCAGTTTGAAGAAATAAAGTTATCTGATCATGGTAATGGCACATTAGCATGGGGCGGCTGTGGCGGAGTGGTTAGGGGAGTCGTCCAGGAACCAGAAGGTTACTGGTTCGATCCCCCGCCCAGCCATCTCAGTCATTGTGTCCTTGGGCAAGACACTTCACCCACCTTGCCTACTGATGGTGGTCAGAGGGTCCAGTGGCGCCAATGTATAGCAGCCCCACCTCTGTCAGTGTGCCCCAGGGCAGCTGTGGCTACAGTGTAGTTTGCCATCATCAGTGTGTGAATGTGAGTGTGAATGGGTGAATGTCTGTTAGTGTAAAGCGCTTTGGGGTCCGGAGGGACTTGAAAAGCGCTCTATAAGTTCAGTACCATTTACCATCTGAAAAAAAAGACCTATCTACTGTTTCAAAACAACTTTCATTTCCCATATTT